GTCGACCTGAGCGTGGCTCGTCTTCAAGGTTAAACTGTCCGCGGCGAAATTTCGCAAACCATTTTTCCACAGTTCGTTTAGCTGGTGCTTGATCTTGATAAACCTCTTGAATGTTTTTTACGGCTGCTGCAACGTTTATTCCTTTCCGAAACTCGTAAAGCATAACATAAATGCACCTTTTCGAGATTCATTTTGAAAGTAATCTTTCTCGAAGCAGTTCGTATCTACACAAATTCTTTTGTTTGAAATGAACGCTGCACACGTCACCTTTCCAACGATATGTCTTACGGAGATGGCGGTATTAATGACAAAACTTTACGCCGCTTCTAACGCCATCTATTGCACCTCCGCACGAACTTTTGCACTCACCCAATATATATAAATAAAACGACTAGAACAGAAAGAAATGGGAAGAATAAAAGAACGGGACAATGGTGAGCATGCCTATGCAGCAAATCGTAATTAATTATCATATGATAATTATTCATAATTAGCTTGATTTGACTTCCGAGTTAGCGTCTGAAATGTTCGCAAAACATCCGAAATAAATCCATGAAGCACGTCGCGCTAATTTGAAAGGCAAATGAAACATTTATTTAATCACATCGCGAGAGCTTTAAATATTGCAATATAATTATTCATAATTATATGATAATTTTTAAATCATTAATTATAAATCGAGTACCACGAAAGAACACAGAATAAGCAACAAGGACCTCGATAAATTACCTTCGCTCATTTTCGTCTGCAGGTACCGGAAAATATCAGTATACGTTCCTGCTGATATGCGGCATGCTGTTCACTTGTGTCGGCCTGCAATACGGGATAAACGCGTACATCCTGCCGTCGGCCGAATGTGATTTTAACATGAGATCGGAGGAAAAGGGTTTACTGAACGTCGCGTTTCTCGGAGGTGAGTCGTACGAGATCTACGTATTTTATGATATTTTATTAATTTCAATTTACATTTGCGCATTCTCACGTTTTCGGTAGGAAACATATGACTTAAAAGTGTTTTACAGACAGCCACTCTGAAAAGTAATTAGCTCGCGGAAGCTTGATTTATCCTCTTATTCTCTTATACCTTTTATCTCGCTCGTGATAACGTCCGTCGTTATTCTAACGATGAATTATGCGCTGTTCGTCACAAAGTGCGTAAGATTTCGTCCGACGGGCTATTCGCACGTGGTGACTCACGCTACGTACTCGCAATTAAATTTCACCGGTCATCGAAATGATTTACAATTAAATCAAGTAATAGTTCACGAGCAATCCCAAATCTGTCGAGCGTCATGTGATCACGCGTCGATCCGATCTTCGCACGACAGAGAAATATAACTATAAATATATACAACGAATATGCAACGCGATACATAATAAGATGCAAATCGATGATCTCTCTTTGAATTACAGACAAGATCGGATCGATAACGTCGCAAATAATGTACAAATATTATGTACGAATAATATGTGATATGTAGATATAACATACACACACACACACACATACACACAGCACTCTGGAAAAAAATAGTCAACATCCATATTTTCGGGTTTCAAGTATAGAGATTTTAAACTTTCTAAACATTTCAAAATGACATGTTTCGTGTCGTTTAAGTATATCGATTAACGTTTTAATTTTAAAGAGATTTAGACAATGAAATCTAGATATTAAGACAATGAAATTTAGAGTTGAGCTAAAAAATCTGAAGCAAATCTTGAATTCTTCAGATTTTACTAGAGAAAAAAATGATTTTTCTTAATTAAACATTAAATGGACGTAAGCCATTTTCTTCCAAAGTAAAGAATTAACTAATGACTGATTATATCCGTGATCCCTTCACAGGCTGCGTATTTAGCGCTTTGTTCTGGGGAATCTTCGCGGGTGTTTACGGACGAAGAAATATCATCTTACTGACTCTCTTCATTGACAGTATACTCACAATAATCGCAAGTTTCTTGCAAAACTACAATCTATTCCTGATATTTCGTATCATGAGCGGATTCATGTAAGCACGCAACGATCAATAAGAACGATTATGACACTGTTTCGATCTTCAATTTCAATGGCATTATCATCTTTTCTTTTCTTTTCTTTTGTAGAATGGGCGCACCTGGTACGCTGATATACACGTACTTCAGTGAGTTTCACGAAGACAAGTATCAAACAAAGAGCGTCTGCTTCCTAGGCTTCTTCTGGCCTCTCGCTTGGTTAATATTACCCGGTAAAGATCTTCTCCTTTTGATTTTCAATAGAGAAAAGAGAGAGATAATACATGGATATATTACTTAATGGATAAATACCTGCGCTTTCATAGGAAAATTGTCAATGTCCGCTTTGATCGGCTTCCACTTACAAAAATTAGAAGAATCTCTAAACATTATTAATATAAGCATAATTATTTCAATTAATCGACATTTTAGTCACCGAAAAATTTCCTGTTGACATAATTGAATTATTGGACTGTGTATTATTATACATATATATTGCGACAACGCGTAAAGAAATGTTAATATTGATTAATTAAGAAATATTATTTAATTAAGAAATATAAAGTAATTATGAAATATTAATTATATTTAATCTACGATTGTTGACTCATCAGACTTTAGAAGATTTGTCCCGTCAGCATAATTAAATGATTGGACTATACACTTTTATATTACGACAACGTATAGGGGAATATTAATTAATTTAAGACCATTGATCCATTTAGGTCTGGCGTGGATCTTCATACCGTTGCCGATCAACTTCGAGTTCTACGGCATTCATTATAATTCTTGGAGGATGTTCCTCGCCTTCATCAGTGTGCCTACTTTCATTATAGCCATGATAATCTTCCTCAAGTATCCCGAGAGCCCGAAATTCCTGGTGTCGCAGGGCGAGACTGAAGAGGCTCTCGCGATTCTACGGAAGATCTACGCGGTCAACACCGGACGCGACGAATGCGAGTATCCGGTGAGTGAATCTTGCTCAAAAATTCGAAAGTGCGAATGATGCAATGTGGATCTCTTTCGATATGATTTCTTTCGTCGATCCACACTATATCGTGGTCACATTCAATTATTTTGCTTCGATTAACACGGGACACGTCTTCGTTAGGTGAAGCAATTACTCTCCGACGTCGTGTTAAATGTGAAAAAAAAGGAGACATCGTCGTCCTCTTTCAAGACTTTGGCGGACCTGGTGAAGAATATCTGGTGGCAATTGCGTACCATCGTATCACCACCGTACTTGAAATACGCCATCATTCTGTGGACAATCTACACCTCGAATATGTTCGGGTGAGTTCCTCTCGACTTGAGAACGAATCACCTCTCAATTTCTACTCGAAGAAAAAGAATTCAGTGTCATGCGATATTTTTGGGGAAATATATTTTCCTGCTTTTATAAATTGTAAATCGATTAAACACGCAATATAGTATTTTAACACCGAGATTGATTTTGTCATTTTGCTTAAAATTTTAACGCAAAAAGGATACTTATGTCTTAACATTAGCGCAAGGTAATCGAATCTATATTCTCCACCGCAGATACTACGGTTTTGGTCTTTGGATACCAGAACTGTTCAATCGCTTCGAGAACTATCAACAATTGCATCCGAACGCGTCGGCGACGGTCTGTGAGCTGATTCGCGACATATCCCAGTCGCTGAATATAACTATTGCGGATGAACCGTTCCTCCCGTTGGACGGAGTCGCCAAGGAGTGTAAACCGAATATAGACGAGCGAGTCTTCATCAACGCATTGACGATCAATGCCGTTTCTTTACCGGGGAACCTCATCTCCGGGTTCCTGGCGAATAAAGTCGACCGCCGAACGATACCGAGTGAGTACCATTGCTAATGTTTAATAACGCGCTTTTGGTGGCAGCATGTGCTAAATAATATTATATATTTTTAATATATATCACTTGTATATGTCACACATATATAGTGATATAAATTAACTAAATTATTATGAATATTTATTTATTTATTTATAAAACAGGAATATAGCAATAATTTAAATTCTTAAATTTGTCTGAAACTATTTTTATTTACTTTGTGTCGTTTAAGAGTTATTTAAGTTATTTCTTTTAATTTTAAATAATTGACTTTGATTTATAAATTAAAGTAATAGAAAAACAATAACAATACTTCTATTTATAATAATACACTTGTAGAATAGAATTATTTACACACTCAATTATTGGAAGATTCTCTCTCTCTCTCTCTCTCTCTCTCTCTCCTTTTTTCGATTTACTCTACTGACCAAAATATTAATAGAACGACGTTCTTTTTTCAGTGATCGCGATGTTTCTGGCCGGCATAGCCGCTTTTGGTGTCTACTTCGTAAGTTCCTCGCTACAAGTCCTCGTGGTGATGTGTGTCTTTTCACTGATGGTGACCATGTCCAATTTCGCGATGGCCGGTGTGGCGGTCAACACGTTCCCTACACATGTGGCCGCTGCCGCTGTATCCATGATGGTTTGCTTAGGAAGGACCGGTGCGGTAGTCAGCAATCTGGTGTTCGCCTTGTTGCTAGACTTCAGCTGCGAAGTGCCAATATTCTTGCTAGCTAGTATCGTCATGTGTAAGTACACGGTCGTGGGTACAAAGTTCAGCTCCAGGACGATTAGTAGTGCCATGTTTTTGATCTTGTCGCTGGTTTTAAAAAACTCGCTGATATATCTAAATTCATGAAGACGCGACACTTTCGAATATCGCTTAAAGGATAGTAAAAAGTTGCATGATAAAATGTATATAATATAAAAATATAAAAAATAAATATATAAAACAATATAACAAAGTATGCGTATATATAATATAAATATATATAATACTTGTATATAAAAGTGTGCCTGTGCAACATTTTGTACGATCGGCGAGAAGTTTCTGGAGCAATGCAACTTCCAATATTTAATATAGAATTAAAGCTAAAAATTCATGTATATATATATACACGGAGTATTTAAATAAATAATTGGTTATTTTTTCAGTTGGTGGGCTGCTATCATTCCTAATACCGAGCAAAGAGAAGAAGTGAGACGCCGACGCACCAAGAGGAGACACAGACGACTCATTGTATCTAAGAGACACAAAGTGTGTCAAATGAAGCGCTTCGTATCATTCATTTCTGTGTGATTTCTACAGAGTAAATGACGATGTTTATCGATCTGTAAATAATAACTATAAACATCGATCATCGATTTTATTGCTCAATGTTGTTTTTGCATGAAACTTCATCTCGATCGTCATTAAACGACGTCATTAAACGAGGATCGTCGCAGTGACTATACCGGAGCTTTAAAGATTGCAATTTCATTTCTCGATAAATCTCGTGACGTATCCCTCTCCAATAGAAGAATTTGTTCCTTAATCATTCTCAGCAGATACATTTTCTTATTGGATGTATCGCCAAACTTATCGAGGAAAAGTGTTGCGACTTTCAATCAACCGACTGTGTGTAACACTATGATAGTTCATTATTTATCGACCGAATCGCACACCGCCTCTAGTAAATATAACTACTTGTCATCATAGATATTTATTAATTTGTAACGTGTCACCACACACGTAGGAGCGTTTCATTGCACGCGATGAACGGCGAGAGACATGCGATCCGTCTTCGTCGACATCGTCATCGTCACGCGAATGTTACAAATAAAACGTATGACAAAACAGAGAAGACGCATTAATTGCTACGGTCTCTTGCGTGGAAAGACGGAAAAAAGAGTATAAGAAAGCCTCGAAGGTGTGATAAACGACCCGGGAAACCGCAGCAGCGTCGGCGGCGAATGAACTACGTAGCGAACCGTGTCGCTAACCATCTCTCTCTCTCTCTCTCTCTCTCTTTTTCAACGGGCGGAAAATACTCGTTGCCGTCTCCTGAGACGTATTTAACCGTCATACATTCTGACGAGCGTTCCGCAGGAATCTTCGGGATTTAATCACCCGATGTTTACGGCGTACCTACCGTAAAGCGTGTGTTAAAGCGTTCGTATCCTTTTTCTTTCCTTCCTCATCTCTCATATATATCCCGATATTCTCCTCCTTCTCCTAAACCATACACGACCACATTCAGAAACTGAAAATCTGCCATTATCGCGTTGTCGACGGATCTTGTCAGATAATAACTCTTTTAAAAAGTACGCTATTGATTGTGTCTCTCTCTCTCTCTCTCTCTCTCTCTCTCAGAATATACTCGACCGGAATAAATCCACCTGTTCGGGAGTTTTTATATCCAACCAAGTTATTTGCCGAGCAATATCTGGCATAATTATGTTATATGGTGTAACAATGATACGAAGATGCGTATTAGAACAAGAGGAAAGTAGAGTGCGAGGCGAGACTCGCACGTGAGGACTTGGTGTTCGTGATTGGTGGTGGACGATCATTGACAACACCACGGGGTACAAATTTGCAATTTCATATATTTTTTTTCTTCTCGTAAAAATGAGTGGAGAGGATTTCCTTGATCTTCGATACACGGTCGTCACTTAAAGCGTGTTACTTCGTTCAGAATTGAATACAATGATATTGAAAATAATATTGTGAGTTCTCGGGAGGTACCTAATAATATCGTTATTTCTCGTTACGCTATCGCACTTATACTCGATATCTGTTTTTTTTTTATTATCATCATCATCATCATCATCATCATTATTATTATTATTACTTTATTATTATTATTATTAGTTACTAATCATTCGTTATTATTATTATTATCATCGCCGACGACGTAAATATATATAATATATATAAATAAATATATATATATATATTTATTTATTTATTTATATATATATATTTATATTTATATACATAATTATATGTATAATATATGCGATGCGCACGCGTGCACACGTTGCGTACACACCTTATTTTATATACAGTATATACAGCCGTAGTCGTTTCGTTTCTTCTCGGTTCTTCGTTGTGTCGTTGCACTCCCATCTCGTATCTCGACACTTAACATGCTTATCATATGTACATATATGTATGTACCTTGTTGCGTGTTTTATTGCGCGTGATTCGAAAATGAGTTGTGGCGCCCGATCGAAGGCTCTTTGATCCGTGAACGTCGGTGAACGTGAATGTGAAAAGAACAAACAATAACATCTCCGAGTCGCTCGTTGTCACTCCGCGCGAGTCGGAAATCGCACGGTCCCAGCAACGGTACGCATCGTCCTTTCACTGCGTCGACGAATTTCGAAACTGCCGTTGAAGAAAAAAGAGAAGAGAACTGCGAAAATCATCAGCAAGAAGCCTCGAAGGCAAAATAAAATCGAAGCATAACTGTTCCAGCGATATAAAACGAAGTATATCTGTCCCAGCTTCATAAGCTTGTGAGTGAAACACTCACTCTTGCAATTTAGAGTAGCAATATCGTCATTATCGCTTCGAATAAAAATACCGCCACTTTTTACTTGTTTCGAGTGAGATTCCATTCTAAAAATTAAGAGAGTAAACAAATTAAAATTGGTATTTTTCGGCAATATTATATTATCATTCTACACATTAGCGGGTCATTGGAGATCAGCTAGAAGACGTATTAAGTATCAATGACTCTCGTGGAATTCCTTCCCGATCCGATGCAAGTGACTAAAAAAGGATGCAAGATCGCAAAGGTGCATTCATTCTTTTTCAGGTCGAGTCGTCTCGAGCCTCGAAATTCGTCGACGAGATACCGCAATACCGATTTCCGGCGACACGTCGCTCAATCGTAACATTCGACGATGTACCACAAGATGGTTGTCGAATCATTAATAATACACTGAGAAAAGATATCGACAAAATAAAAAAAAATATCTATTCGGTGGTACCAATATCATATTTACTTAAATCTAAATTCTTTTATTTAAATAGAATAAACAATTGCTTTCATGAAAAGCTACATATTTAAGAACATGTATATTTTCTCATTTGAAAAAGTTCTTCTCAGTGTAAAAACATGTACATATTTTTATATTTATTATATTTATATTTTATATTAATATAATATGTTATTAGTATGTCCGCCGGATAAATATTTTTTATTTCTTAGATATTTTTTTCCTCTCCGACGGTAAAGAACGGCATGTTTTTCTCTCTTTTCTTTTTTTTTTTTTTAATCAAATTCCGCGTGATCGTAACTTGAGAGTGCGTAATCGGAGAAAAAACCGACCGTGGAAACGTCTGAATCATCCGTATTAGAGCGCATCACTCACTCACTCTCACTCACTCACTCTCTCTCTCTCTCTCTACTCTCCGACTATTCGAACATCCGAAAAGCGCAGTATCCCTCGTGTGGTGTGTAAGGCACTAGTTGTTTATTCGTTACATCCTAAACGGGTGTAAAGGTGTACCCACGACGGAAGGACGCGGAACACGGCAGGAAATTTGCGGCAATTCGCGACTATCGCGTCTAAATTAGTCTCTCGAAAGAAAGTTTTTCTTTTTTTATTCTTTTCTGATTTTTCTTTTTCCTTATCAAAGTTCAGCCCATCCGGTGTGTACATCAACGATTTTTCAAATCGCACGACAATAACCAAGAACAGAAGAGAGAGGATCAAATACGAATTCGGTAAGAGGAGGAAAGACACGTACGAGCAGAGGGGCTTTCGATGTTTCCATGTTTTTTTTTCTTCTTTTCGTTTCCGAGAACGAGCAATAATAACGTCAGGGATGCCGATGTGAAGCGCTTAGGTTACTTATCAACAACAGTAGTTTACCGACACGCGTGATAACACCGCTAGTCGTAACTCGCTCTAAAAACACTAATCTAATGTAACAGTGAACGGCTATAAAGGCACTATGTTTCACAGACGTAGAGTCCTTATAGGGAAATTAGCTGCCTTCACTCGTTCCTTCGCGCGATTTTAGTCGGCAATTAAAAAAAGAAAAACACTCGTGTCTCGAATGCCAGACCGACGAACTCACCTCTCTCATATATCGCGTATCTTTTTTCCCTTCCTTTCTACTTCGAAATGATCATCTATTCAATCCGAGCGCTGCGGAGAATTCAAGCGAAACAATTCGTCATTCGCACGATGATTCTAACAAGTAGATTTCCATTGAACGCGGCGTTCGATTTATCAAATAAGTGAGATTCGACTCGAAGGCATCTAATCTCGCTAACGAGGAACTTTCGTATTGCATGTCTATGGTTTAAGGATTAAACCCAGCCCACAAACACGTGGAGTGGTCGGCCGATGGTTAAAGAGTGACGTTAGAAAACGGCTCTAATTGTCGTTCGGTCGTTAATATTAGCGTTATTATTCCCGATTATTACTTACTGAATAATGGCACGTCACGTCGCGTCGCGTCGCTCGAGAGAAACGACAACGTGGCCGGCTTTATTGGCGAAAGTAATCGTCACGCGCTCTCCGGGCAGATCCCGAGAACGGTTGGAGGAAATAAACGGTGAGAAAATAAATTATTCCATCGCGGGAAAAGCTCAGTCTTGCTTGACGCGCGCGTCGAGTAAACGACAGTCATCATTCTATTTTGCTGGCGCGATAATGAGTGTTCTTTATTGTGAGATAACCGAGGAGAGCGAATGTTAATCCGAAGCGCGACTTCGGGATTTGGATTTTTTTCCATGTCGGGATGTTGATTGCGAACGAATGACCCGTGAATGACAAAAATAAAAGACGAAATAGGAAAGACGCGCGATTATCAGCTCGTTCGCTCGACTCGACGGTCGAGAATTCGCGCGATCGACGCGAATGAAATTCGAGAGAGAAAGAAACGGGAAAGGCGGTCGTAAAGGCGCGAGGGAAAAAAGTAAGAAAAGAAGAGGACGAGACGAAAGAAGGGAATCTCATGCATCGTGCCGGTGAATGTCTGCGTTTTGGTTTCGTAATTTAAAAACGTCCCATGTAATTTATGAATATACACAATATTTATATTTTCGATCTTTCTTCCATCGTTGAGCAATCTCTCTCTCTCTTTCTCTCTCTCTCTCTCTCTCTCTCTCTCTCTCATCGCGAAAACGTACGTTACACATCATTGTCTGCATATGAGAGCACGCTTGAATGAAAATTAACGTAGGCTTTCGTTCTCAACAACTTCACGACGCTATGAAACTTCGATGAAAGTCATCCGCAGCGATCACTTCGCACTTCGCATACTATGCGCGTATAAATGTCATTATAAATAATATTTTGTATTTACGATCGCTCGAAAGAAACGAAAGGCAGAGCAATGTGTAGAATGCCAACGGGATTAACGACGTTATGAGAGACGTGGCCAATGTATACAATACATGCAGTATGAACAATGTATATATACAAGATATACCTGAACTTCACCGACAAACAGGATAGATTCTACGTAAAAAAAAAAATAAGTAAAAGTTTAGTAAATATATGTCTTCAAACGCTTGGTTTCTGAGACATAGTTGCCGCAATCTCCGTTAGAAAAGATATATTTTATTCATTAAATCGTGTTTTACAAATAAATAACCAGACGCATACGGTTGTAAAAATTGTTCAACATGTCTATCTCCCTTATCAATGCACAATTAACATATATGAAGTAAAAACGCGCGCACACGTTCGAACATTGCTTCATTATTTCTAACGCTATCGCATGCCCATTGGATTCTTGGAAGCAGTCCGTCTAGCTCATTCACAAAAATATCAAAATTGATAAGCACTATCTTCAAAAACAGGTAAAAAAAAGTATTATATTAGCATTCTTAACCCGCTTATCGTAACATTTTCTTTCATCGTAGTCATCTTCTGAAGGCTATATTTCGAAAACCAAGCTTTTACGGACATATGTTCACTAAGAAACCACTTTACTTATTTTTCAACATAGAATTTGCCCTATAAATTTGTCGATACAGTTCACAGATACTGCACCCTCTATATGCACAAACATGCCATAAAAACCATCGAAATCCGTCGAATGAAAAAGAAAAAAAAAGAAAGAACGATGTTCCGCAGATCTTCGACTCGCAAGGAGACCAAACGTCGAAAAGTGAAGAATCCGCGAGACGAACAGTGACAACAAACTGCACCGTACTCGCTCTCTTTCGTCTTTTTCTCTCCAATGATCGCGAAAAGGATGAGTTTATTATTGCAAGTTCGCCACCGACTTGTTGCGTTTCATTCGTACACCTCCGCCTCTCCTCGAAAAGTTTCGCGCTTTCCCTCGAATTTTCACATCGCCCGATAGCTGTACGCGTATTCCCAAGAGATAGAGGAGAAAAGTTACGCACTCCCATTTAGACACACCAGAGTCCGCATTGCGCGGAGAGAAGGAGCTCGCTCTCTTGTGGCGGTATTTACGTCGCAGGACGGTCCTGCTATTAATTTTAGTGCGCCTTCACGAGCGCTTTTTTGTCCCTAACGCGCGGCGACGCGCTCTCTCTCTCTCTCTCTCTCTCTCTCTCAACGCGGCTGAAAGGGCGATGCGGCGAGCACAAAGAGGCGCGCGAGTGCTCGCTCGCGCGAATCGGTACGTTCGGTCGCGGAAAGTAGTCGGGTGCTGTAATTTATGCCTCGACGACGTTGAGCGCTCTAAACACGCGAAGATCGCGAGATCGTTCTCGCCGATTTTCACCGATCGTTGGGATCATTCCGACGAATGTCGGCATCTTGAGATAGCAACGCGGGATAACTCGACAGATAACTTGTTTTCCGATCGGATTCCATCGCGAACCTCACCCCGGCTTGGCGTCTCGTAAATTGTAAGCCAGCTTGTGTGTATATGTAACAACGTTTTAAAACACATACCAAAGACGAGCGCGCGCGCGATGCACGAGTACACGCTCGGCGTTTAATTGCGACGAAAGGGGCGGATCTCTCGACCTCCACAACAACGTGTACGAAGGCAGTGAAAAGGGGACTACGCAAAAGCAACAACGGAGTCGTCCAAAGTGAACAATCTGTCGGCGGAATTCCTTATCATCGTTACCATTATTTTCGCCGATGATCTAATCCGACTCTCGTGTTTTCTCTCTCTCTCTCTCTCTCTCTCTCTCTCTCACGCAATATATACAACTAGCTACCTATGAACATTTTGTATACACGTCTCTGTATACATATTAATATATTCTCAAGCGGCGTATACGCATCACAATATATATCATTCGCAATCTCCTCGCAAGATCATCCGTTCGATCGTTATTACAAAGTAACTGCCACTTTTACACCACGATAAAAGCGGTTGTACGAAAGTAAACTAATGGTCGAAAAACCTACGGGTCAATCAGTCGATTGTATGTCTATACGTGTACGTGTAACGTGTCTATGTAGATTTGTATGCATGTATGTTCATATGTATATATGTATGTATGTGTGTATGCGCGTATGTATGCGTGTATGGCGTGAACGAATACGTATGACTGGTACATATTACATCGTTATGTACTTAAATGTTCTGAACACTGTACGCTCTTTCCATCTTTCAAGTTAAATCTATATACCTACAAAGTATGTAAAAAAAAAGGGGAGATTGGGAAGGGGGGACGCTCGCGTACGTGACTCATGTACAATTGTCGCGCGGAAAATTTCTGCACATCGGGAAATCCAAAGGCAAGCATACGGCTGTAAATACATACTATGTATGTATGTGCACGCAGAAAATATGTATATGTACGCATCGAGCGACATTCTAAGAGAAAGGAAAAGAAACGAGAACCATTCTTTTTTTTCTATTTCCCACCGACGACTAGCACGGATATAAGGCCGAGAACAAACAATCTTTGCGAAATAAACGTATACATCATGTCGCCTGGTTCCGATGTGCGGCATTTTCACTGTCGAATTATCACGAGCTTTCGAGTCCGAATTTATATACACACGCGAACGTGTCTTACTTTGTTGCTTTCTCTCTCTCTCTCTCTCTCTCTCTCTCTCTCTCTCTCTCTCTCTCTCTCTCGTCTCGCTTGCTTCGCAACGCGTTTTCCGTAAAAAAAGGAAGAAAAAAAGACCTGCGTTAAACTCTTATCACAGTATCGTATATTACTGTAGTACAAAGCTCCGGAGGCATTTTTTCGTGCGAAACGAGCTTGGCACGTGGCGCATGTTTACCCGAGGTACGTTGCACCACGGAGGGAAGCTGGGAAGGCACAGTGTATGTACATATACTCTACGTTATGTACAGCACCGAACGACGACCGGAGATAACACCCCAGGACTCGTGGCACGTTTCGCTTCTGTAGCGCTGATCAATCGTGTGACTGCTATCGATTTCAGTACTGTCGCGTCTCTCGTAACGTAAGACTTACGATAGAACTTATGCTACTGGAGCGGCTTCTAATGCAATTCTTTTCTACGAGTGATCTTACGCGGGCGTAAATAAAAATGCGTCTCTCATCGTTGATCATCGTATTCCTATAAATAAAAAAAATCCTTGTGTTCCTTCAATGTTTTCTTACGCTTTTACAATACAATGAGATATTCTAATTTTCCAAGCTGTAAGAATTCGTCACACACACGAGAATGAAGCCGGTACTACTGCTTGTAAACGCTGTACAAATAATTGCTCTTCTCTCTCTCTTTCTCTCTCTCTCTCTCTCTCTCGCCAGTAATACAAGTTTTATGAAAACGAACGACGACGAGTGCGCGTGAAAAAAACTTTGAACAATCATCGGCGAGTTTCGCCAAAAATTATTTCGATACAGTCGAACGTTCCGCTAAAGTCAATGATAATTTCTACGTAATGCAATTAATCGCGTCAATTAGCTGTGAGCGATCTTTCGAATTTTCGATTATTAAATGCCGAATGTAAGTCCACTATTCTCTGTTTACCCTTCCGTATGACTGACGAAACGAAAGAAGGCTGCGAGGAACGCGCGTCTCGCTCGTTCTCTTCGATCATCCGGAAAAATTCTCTCCGAGGAACGATCGTGACATTTTGAAACTCTCTCTCTCTCTCTCTCTCTCTCTCTCTCTCTCTCTCTCTCTCTCTC